GCCATCGTTTATATATGCTCTCTCTCTCTGTTTCTCCCTCTCCGTCTTTCATTTAGATGTATCGATATGTGGTTTCAACGGCGTCCGGTTTGTCCGGTACATCCTGGCGACTAGCATTGTCACGCTCGTGTTTTTCGCCTCACGGAATCACATCCCTTATGATATTTACTTCCCCGAAATCCCCATTTAGTGACATGATACACGTGTCACCTCGGGCCCCCAGGACTCTTGTTCTCCGACCGTAACCCATTTCCATTGTCTCTTTCCATCAAGTCTCCCCCACCACCCAGTGGCGTTCCAATCTCTTTCTCTTACCCAATGTGATCGAATGTGAATTACCTGCGGGCTTTCTTGTTCGTCCCTATCCCTATATCAGTTCCCGACCCTTGTCGAGATGGGTTCGATTCCAGAATTTGACACACACACACACACACACACGCGCACATCTGTGTATTCTAGCGAGCGCGCTTTCCTATCTGACCGGTTCTCACAGTTTTCAATACCGGTGTAGTGATATGAGTTTTGCCAACTACTTATCCGTGTATGTTCACGCCGTTCTGGTGGCCCCCTTTCCTCATCAGCAGAGTCCCGTTGCTCAACGGCAGTTCCCCCCATCCCCGACCCTATCTGAATCGGGATTTGAGTTGTGACACACGTCTGTTTTCTTGCCCGCACGTATTCTCTCACTCATTCCCCTGGCGGTTCATGGTTTATTCCAAACTATGCGGAGCTATTAGTATTGTGTACGATCGATCGTTGTGTTGTGTGTGTGTGTGTACCAGCTTGTCGATTCGCTTCACTTCGTTCTTACCTTCCACCACCCCACCCCGCACACGGTCAGCTTTGCATCTCGTTGCTGTGCATGCATGCTCGTGCACGCTTCCGTCCGTCCGTGTGTGCGTGCTTGCGTGGGTGTGTTGATCTGTTCCAAAGGGTTTTTTTTACACTACATCTGATCATATCCATCCACCCAAATGACCAACTTCCATGCTGAGTGTGTGAGAGAGAAACAGAGAATCAAAGTATTTCTTTGCATAGCTTACCATGTGTCACGTGCGTGCGCGCGCACGTTGATATTCTTCTCTTCGGCCGACTGTTTTATATATAAACCACACTCTGTTTCGTCGTCGTCGCCTCGCCCCCCCCCCGCTCGAATCAACTAACTTATTTGTTTAACGAATACATGAAGAAGAGCAGGTTGGACTGCTGTCTCTCTTCTCGACCCCGTGCACAGCGTGGTTCGATCCCATCCACACTCCTGATTTGCGTTAGAATGACCCGCGTTCGGTGATAATGTCCCCTTCAGCCCCTCCGCAACCGAATCCCCATCCTACGCCCCGCCACCCCGAACTCCACGGGGGTTTCCGCTCCGTCACATTGCGTCAACCGGATCGCTAGCCGTCACCACTTGTGTGTTATCCTTTCATGTAATCATGATCACTTCGACCGCTCCGTATCATCATCATCATCATGCATACTCGATTCCATTTGATAACACAAACACGCAGGCACACAGCATAACAGACATACAGACAGAGAGTGAGAGAGATAGACAAACAGACAGAATAAATAAACGTGTTGATTGTACCACTGTTTCTTGTTCATGACTTAGTTTTGCTTTGTGTGGCATGCTTTTGTGTGTGTGTGTGTGTACTGAGTTCCACATTTTCGCTTTTTATCCTAACGTGAGCTGGACGACAGTGAAGCTGCTTACCGCCTTGGTGTCATATTTAGTTGCCACACTCAAGTCACTCGCGATCGGCTTTGATGATCATGGTCTATTCACTACTGCCACCTAGCGGGCGAGGGATCCCAAGGTTCACGGTCTGTAGTTGCCCGTTATGAGAAAAAATAAACTCAACTGGTGGTCAAGTGAGTTGAGCCGCTTGCACTGACGTGCTTTGGGCCCCAATGCTCGAACCCCGACACCGTCATCCAAATTCGATTTCGCCCAGCTCAATACCACGCCTGTACTAATGCTTCGGCCATCACTCCTAGTCCAGATTGACGTTTCCTTCACCCCATAGTAATAAATAGTTTTAAAAATTCGAATGAACATTTATTGAAATCATTGGTTTTTCTACTCATTGATGAATGGGAAGTGAAGCGTAGAGAAATACCTGGTCCCTTATTTTATGATCTCCCTGTGAAGTTTTTAATTGTTCTCGTAAATCTCAAATTGACCGGCTATTGGTTAATCCGCACTGTTTCCTGTGTCCAGCGCGTACATGCCCTGAGTCCGACGATCTTACTAGGCTATTTCAGACGCAGCCATAACGTGAAAGTCTCGACCGACAACAGATAGAAGACGATCTATTTTGCTCGACCCCCCCCCCCG